TGCTTGGGATAGATTCGTCACCGAATCCGACCAACTATAAACCCAGGTAAAAACTGTTTTCTAAAAACAGAAAGAATGGGCATGTGGCCCAGCCATGGGGAAAAGATATGGGGGTGCTTGGTAAGTGTCTTTCAAATCTGTAATTGTATACTTTTGCTGTAGAGATTTTAGCTGTAAATACTATAACTGTTATTTTAAATATAAGTAGAATTCTGTTTGGTTATACAAATTGTAGAAACTGTAACTGTTACTTTAATAATTACATACAATATTTTGTCAATAATATAAATTATGAAAATATTTATATTAGTAGCATAATTAATCAGTTCTAAAATAACTATCAACAAAAAAATACAAAATCATAGAAATAAAAAAAATTGTATTATTAATATAATTAATCATTACCAAGCGGCTAATACATTAAAATAATATAAAATAAACAAATCTCATTTTTATTTATTAGTTATGAAATCGATTGGTAATATTATAAAGAATAATTTGTTTTTGAAAAACATATAAATTACTTTCTTTGTTATTTCAGTTTTGATTTTCCAATATTACATGTTGAAGTACACACATATAAGTCTCGTCTGACACATATAAGTTATATTATTCGACTAATTTTTTTTAATATTAAAATTAATCATTCTTTAGCAAAATTAAAAAAATATTTAAATATACTTAAAATGGATCTAAAAAATAGATAAAATAGAGAATAATTAATCAATCAAAATATTTTAGTGATAAACAATGTATAAATCTACACAGTGTGTTAAATACACGTTGATGTGATTTAGAGAAAGGAGAAAGAGAATAAATAAATAAATTTATTTATTTTGTAATGGCTAAAAAGAATTAAAACCAAGCTTTTAAAACTTTAAAATGGATAAAGATTTTAAAGAATGTTTGGCAAAAAGTAATTTTTAAAAGTTGTAGAATTCTTTAAAACCGTAAAAGACTATTGCCAAGCCTTAAAGCCTTAAAAGACTATTTATAGACAATAAAGCTTTTTTAGCTTTTTGCATGTTTATTGGTGAACTTTTGTGAGTTTCTTTAAATATAAAATTATTAAAATTTGAGTAAAAGGAAGAAAGAGAGTGTGTTTGGTTGAAATAATGTGGTATATTGAAATATAGAATTAATAAAATTTGAGTAAAGAGAAAAGATAGTGGGTATTTTTTGAAAGAGAATATCATTAGAATGAACTTTTGGAGATTAAGTTATGGTGTGTTTAAATATAAAATTAATAAAAATTGAGTAAATGATGAAAGAAAAGGTGTAAAGTTGAGTAAAAGGATGAAAGAGAAGGTATAATGTTGAGTAAAAGGAAGAGAGAGTGTATTTTTAATAATTTTATATTTAAAAAAATCCACAAAAATTCAAGAATAAACATGGCCTATCTCTCCGAATTAAAG